ATCAAAGCCTTCTCCTCATCTCCACAAACTTATTTACTTTGTCTGGGCCAAATCTCATGCAATCAAAATAAATAATCTTGAACGAGCGCCCGGGATATTCAATCGTTTGGCGGATTAAAATGTTCCGTCTAAGTGATTTCAAATATTTATTTTAAAGAATCAGTTAAGGCTCCGAAAGTGAAATTTGATTGGTTGAGATTATAAAAAAGGCGTGCAGATAAATGTATCTAATTAGCCAGTATTCACAGCGTGAGCTTTAAGTAAAGTTAAAACCTCTACAGCAAACATAATTTAACAGTTTCGCGTGGGGTACATCGAGGTAAGTTGGAATAGCCAAGGGATTTTACTGCCATCTAGTTAAGGAATATGTTTTTACCATTTTTCGTAGTCTTATGTTGAATGGACTCTAACAAGGATTTCTAACGTCCACTGACTTGTTTCAGTAGCAGTAACTATTACATTGTCGGGAGAAAATGACCCTTTAAGCCCCAATAAGTATTCTGATATATCGTATCGTCTACCTATATTCCTGGATCAATGTATTATTGTGAATGGATACTAAGTGCGCCTCATATTTATCTTTTCAGCTATAGTCCTTAATATTATTTTTAAGCCATATAGACACCAATGAATTTATTATCATTGCAAAGCAAAACAATGTTACAATATTTATGATAATCTAAATTTTTCTTTTATTTCTGTGGTGAACGGACTATTTCACCTTAACTGTGTTATCTACTATTACTGTAATCCAAGCCAATTCTTAATCGAAAAGCCTACCTATCTATTTCAAATAGTTGTGTAATCTGAAATGAAATGAAAATGGAACATTATAGCAAATTTCCTTCTTTTTCAAAATGCTTTTGTCATTTTATTTAGATTCASGACATAAACATCCATACAAATTTCATTTCATTGTTCTTTGGTTAATATGCGCCCCTACTGACAAAGTACTTCCTAGCTAAGACAAAAATTCTCATTCAATAAAAGCGAAACGAGTTAAATATAAGACACCGGTAGTACTACTCCAGATAAGTCTATTGTTCCAACGCGTATACTACAATTAGACCGTTGCCTGCATTTTGAAGTGGCTTTTGTGAGAGCATTTCCTTTTTGAATACAAGTAGTGGAGACTAGATGAAGACATACAATAGTAAATATTTTTCACTAGCTTCATATTTAWCAATGAATATCCGTGGGTGTAACGCCTGCTTGTTTGCTATCGATTTTCGATGTTCGCTTTATTGTACTGTCAACAAATCKCGATTTTGAAAAATAGCACATGTCAGTGTGAAAGAGAGTTATCAACAATATTCTGGGCGGAGTCAACAAGGGGAGTCAACTAGCTTTTTGTCATAAAACCAGAAAAAAAGACTGTTTACCGACGATCTAGTCTGTGAAAGTCATATTTCTCAGTTTACAGTTATCTGGCCGAAAATTTGCATCTTTAAGGACTATTCGTGAAAGCAGTTATAGCTGTGCCCCCTCCTTTGGCCAAAAACAATACATTGAAATTAAGGAAAAGTTCCTAATCCGATTCAAAGAGTATAATTTCGTTGAAATATAAACATCCATCAAAAATGTATCCAATAATCGATGACATACTCCATGGTGACTTGTCATAACAAGCCATTAAATTAGAAATGACCGGTTATTTTAAAAAAATATCGTATAATGTGTAAAAGCGAATATCAAACAGTGAGCCAAATTGCTAAAAAAAAAAGATCCAAATGGTCGAATAAAACCTAATCAAAATTACCTAAATGGAAATACATCGTTCATAAAAAGTGCCACATAGTGAAACTGTTGGCCATCGTAGCTACCCTTAGGGGATTTGTGGGGAGAGGGCCCTTCTAGCAGGCCCTTCCTGTTTCTCCTCCTCATCTCTCCACCCAAATCCTCTTATATTACGAGCGCTAAGGAGTCTATAGCAACTGGTAGGTGCTAATAAAGTATTACCTACGGCGCCAATCCTTCGTTTGCAATATACGTCACAGCGGCCATCTTGGCTGAACTTCAACAAAGGATTTCTCATTAGTATCTATTRGATTCAACCAACATGGRCGYCGGTCTTTTGAATCTCGTGGGAATGATTGTAAAACGATGAATAAGTACAAAAGAGATACAAAGAGATGATTGTACACTTCGATTTACCAGGATACTGACAGTAGAGTAAGCAAAATGTCGTCAATTATYCTTAATTGCAACATAGTAACAAATATAATGTTCCAAATGGACTACTTAGACAATATGGCATCAACTTCTGTAAAAGATGAATCTAAAATGCTTCTTTCCCTAACGCTTTTGATTTCATTTGGCGCAAAAATATCATAAAATACGAAAGATGGGCCGGACGTCAAGAAAAGCCATGACAAAAAAAGAAATTGGAGTGAAAACATTTGACAATTTTAAGAAACGACGTTTTAGCGCGTTTTTCGTCTTGCCAAAACGTGATAGCATTTTTAAATGCTAAAAAGTACCCTGTTAAATTTACAAATGGCTTTTCKAAATGAATTCCATTTGTATCATGAAAAATCATAAAATATGAATCATCTTATATATAATTGTTTTACTGAAGAATTCACGCATGTCTCTCTTTCTGAGAACAACAAAACAATGACAACAAAATCAATGGCAGTTTTCAAAAATCAATCAAAACAATCAATCAGATGTGACATTGGTTCCTACCTTTAACATGCCATAAATCAGGGATTTAGAAATAACGGTAAATGAAGTTACGCGTTGACCAAATGAGCAAATGGGTATTGTTCTTGTGGTACACTTAAAAAACTATTTTGGTTAGTGGATTTACTATAAGTAAGTATTATCTAGTGATCTTTCAATTTGTTCAATCACATACACAAGAATTTATCTTGATGACAAGAAAATCAAATTATAGTATAATGCCAAACACAAACAAAACAAATAAGAAAAATAAATAAATATGGAGCTGTTAAATTTTACACCGTACTAGTAAAACATAAGTATTTTCATTGTTTACATTTGTTTTGTTTTTTTGTTTGTATGGTTTTTTTTTTTCGTCTTAACATACAGTATTTATTTGTACATTACTACTACATTAATTAGTACATTACTACTAGATAATTTCATCTTGAAGTAATGGATCTAGTTTTAAACTAAGATACTCAGTCCTTTACGCACAAAAAACCCCGCAGTTTATTCCGAAAACTAGTTTCGTCTTACGACCTTATCAATTCTAGAAATAAACCGTTRTTTGCGCTATTTACTAGATAAGAATTACTAAATATTATAAATTACTATTTACAATTGAATTACATTTGTTTGTTTTTTATTTAAAAGGATTAACACTAAACTTTAAAGCAAATGAGTAAGATAAAATCTTAAAACCATTCTGTGTTTTCGTTGACGATACGGCCGCCATAATGGTGTCACTTCAGCAAAATATTTCTCGTTTGCATCTATTATTCATATCACTCAACGACGGACGGTATTTTTAACTTCAAAAGAATGATTGATAACGAGCAATTACCAGATACGTGTAATATAAAGAAAAATAAAGGTTAAATAGGAAGAGTGAAATGATTACAATGAATTATATGAAAKATTTCAAAGTAAAAATCAAAAAAAAATATCAAATTCATTTAAATTTTGCCGAGAAAATGGATTTGGACCACTTTTTGTAAAAACCTATCTTTCGTGTGTAGTATTGAAGATTTCAAAAGCGTTTAGTTTTATTTGATCTGTACATCATAACGATAAACAAACATCGCTAAATTCTATTTTTCTAAAACATATTATGAAAAATAAATGATTAAATAAACAAATTAAATAAAAGAAAGAAAGAAATGGATGAGTGAACATTTAAAAAATACTTCTTTTATGAATTACATATAAGAATAACACCAAAACTTACTAAAAATCCGGCGATGGCACTGGGCATTGGAAATTCGCCAAATTCTGATTAATTGTTCAGTTAAAAAAGACCTTTTGCCAAGTCCTTYTTGGCAATTAAAAACTGCAATTAAATTACATATACAACATAATCCCTAATTACTGCCGTAAGCCAGTGGTTCTTTTGTCAGACGTGAAAAAAAATTGGTAGGACCTTATTGTTCTTGGTCTTTGGGGATTTGTACGAATTAGATTTTTGCTTTTCATGCTCAACTGKTACGCCGTGATTGATTTCATTTGCACTGATATGTTTTCTCGTCGTTTTTGAACAATTTTTCTTCCTAAATTAGCGGGAAAAAACATACAAAGGCCGCGGAAATATATGAGTGTGAAAAAGTCCCATTACAATGAAATTATTGTTGTAAAGAAATTTTAGTGATTTGTAATTCGACCTTGCATTAAAAGTTAGTCATTTTTTTATTGATTGCCGAACGCGTTGAGATGACAACCCTATGGCATCTTTTAAACACCATTAACGAGCCTGCCAAAGAAATAAATCAATATCATGAAAAATTACATGAACTCGCAACCACTTGAAACGAACACTAATTGGACCCAGCAGTCCGAAAAACTGCAGTAATTAGAGGCGTTCGCTCAGCCGCAACTCGAAGATCATTATGCTTAAAACAATAACACTGCTAAATTTGTCACTGGAGCGCATGAACTAAAGTGCTACGCTGAGGTGCTCTAAAACAGGCAGGTAAATACTRACTATATTATCTTGACGAAATTGGAAAAAAAGTGATTAGGAAAAAAAGCTTTCAACTGTTTACACTTKTTTGCTTCCTTCCATTACCGTTGGGGCTATTATATGATATTATATTTCCTGTGACAGYTTGAAGTTCCACAGAACTAAGCCTCACTCAATCTGAAACCTCTTTAATTTGRAGCTGGAAATCCTGAAGACATTGGTGACGGGCCGGTCTCATCTTGTCAAATTGTCTGTGTAACTATCGTTATCAAAAGTACACAAACACGCGGGCTTAAAAGCTTCAAACAAATATCACATACATATAGAAACCACAACAATTTATTCAGCACAACCTGACAGTGATTATCTTTTACAGGTGCGAGTACGGTCGGTGCCTGAGGTGCTCCTGAAATCGAATTAGTCGTGGGATTTGTGAACAAAACCTAATCAAGAATATAGCGAGATCCTGAAAGACTCGACCTGTGAAATGAACCCTTCAAGTAACAATACAACTAACGGTTCTGTAGTGAACAACACTGGGAGGTTAAGGCATGGATATGGAGAACGCAAGGCAAATTTTGAAATCGCTTATGATTCCTGCTTGATCGTGTTAGCACTGTTTATAATAGCAATCAATGTACTTGTGCCTGCGCTGTTCCTTCGAAACCGTGCACTGAGGACAAAAACGAACATGCTGTTGGTCAGCTTRGCCATCGCTGACATGGTCATGGGACTTGTTGGAATCCCTATGTACATTTCTTGTAACACGCTATACATGTTTTTTGAATACCGTGGAATGTGTTTCGCTGCAAATGTGGTGTAYCGTTTCATCGCCGTCTCCACGATTTTCCACATATTCGCCATAACCATCGAAAGRTACATCTCGGTAAGCTACCCCTTCAACTATGTCACCTGGGTTAAAATGAGCCGTTTGCGGATRATCATCGCTTCCATTTGGATTCTTTCACTTTTCATGGCTTTGGTGCAGCTCAGTTTGCAAGACTTGACAAAAGATTACTACATGGMAGACGAAGGAGAAGTCGACCCGTTTCTCTATAGAGCTGGACTTATTTACAACCTAATCGGCGTKATCGTCTGCTTCACAATCCCACTTACAATCATGATTTTTATCTATTGGAGGATGTTCGTGATTATCCGAACGCAGATCAAAAGGATCAAACAGCAGAATGTCACAGGTTTCGAAGAGAATTGCAAACCGTTGTCCTCCGAGCGRAGRGCAATCACAATATTTGCTTTGATGTTGGGTTTTTTCACGACATGCTGGCTGACGTGGTATTTATCGCTSTTGGCCAACTACATTAACGTTGTAATGTATGTGCCAGAACTAGTGTATGAGATTTTCGACTTTTTACGCTTTTCAACATCTTTTATTAACCCACTCTTGTACACTTTCCTGAAATCTGACTTCAGAAGGGCGCTTTTCCGACTAGTCTCATCGAAATTTGGCAGGAATAGGAATAAACAGAGTTTCACGACCGATGCAAAAGTTGCTTTAACAACAGCTGTACATAACAAAAACAGCAATGGAGACACCGACGACGAAACGAAAAAACTAACATCGATCTGAACMGCATAAATTTTGTTCTGAATAATTCATAAACGTAAAAACAATCAAAGAACGGCTTCTATACATGGCAAGGTGTTAGTAGCCATAGACATTTAATGAATTTATTTTTAATGATTTTAATTAAGCTAAAGGCTTTTTACTTTTAGCATAGCACCCTGTATAAGTTCAAAGGCTTAGATTTTTCTCACTGGWTTTCGACTGTGATCGTTATAATCAGAATAAAAGGCCTACGGCTCCACGCATCTATGACGACACAGCCTCAACAAAGAAGACGTTTTTGCGAAAGGTTTCCGCTAAATCCAACGCTTTCAGTAACAGCTATCTCTGTTGATATATAGTTAAAGCTATCACGGTATATTGTTAATTTAAAAGTGTGCAAGAGCGAAAAAGATTAACACAAAAATATATAATTCATCGGTGTGATTTTCAATTAACGATTTGAAGTGAAAAAGGATTAGTAGAGCGCCTTTGGGAATTGGACCAAAACAAATGCCAAAACRTAAATACCTTTTGTTTAGAGGTTGTTATGGCGAAGACGACGAGAGCAATTACGTTTCTTCCCTCGCCAAGATGTAAACTACCCAAAATTCCGATCAAAACAAAAACAGGAAGAAAAAAAAAAAACAGCGTTTTCATTCTCAAATATTTGCACCATACTTATTTTTTATATTTTTTAATGACACCACATAATCTTAATCCCCTGGATATTAAATAATACAGTAAAAAAGCAAAATCATTGTAGTTTGACTTTTGAGGTTCCACTAGAGGATTATTTCAGATTATCTAGTATAAGACGAACAATATCTCTTCCACAGAAAACTCGTTTTATTGTTAGGCTGGATCCAAATCAGTGGTAGATATTTTTGGGGGGGTCCGAGGGAATGCTTTCTATAGATTACGGATCTTAAGGTCATTATTTTTGACAAACAGAATAATAATATATCACTTTTGTAGTTCTTCGAGTGATAGATTTCAAGATAGATAACGCTTTTTGGAAAATCTCAAAGAGAAATTGAGCTGCAGAAATACATAGAATCTAGAGATTTAGATTAGATGTATTAAAGTTATTTTCGATCCAATAATGTCTACAAAAGTTCGTTGATTTTAAAGTAACTCGCCATGATTGTAGCACAAATAGTACCAGTTACTCTTGTTGGACGAGTGAAAAAAGCCAAAAGTGAAATTGTATCTATTTTTGTGTTATTCCTGCAAAATTAACGATATAAAATGCATGATTTTTCTCACTTTAAATGACTCGTACAACTCGTAATACTCGTGGATGGACTCGTGGAAAAGCTCTATATATACCTCATTTCAAAAACGTTGTCAGAGAGAAATAGAAAATTTGTATTTAGTAAAAAGAATACATTATCAACACAAAAGAAAGCGGTAAGCTTGGATAATTTTCTCTTTTTTTCGTTTTAATCTAATCCTTTTTTGCACTAAAACGTTTTCGCAATTAGATATATCTCAAAGCTATATTTCTTCCCTTATTTATGTAAAAAACTACTTGCTATAAAGAGCATAGGAAATTTTGAGGATTTAACTACCCGTAACACTAGAAGACAACTCTTTCAGACCTGCAAGGCTAAAAGGTCTATATATTGAGCTGTAAGCGGTGTATTTTCATCAAAAGCTAATTAAACCAATTCATTAAGTGCAAGAAAATGCGTTATTTGCACGAGATCGAAGAAACGTATTCCCGGTTTACTTTGAACTTCATCCTAATATCTTACTTCCYTTTATTGTTTTCTTCCAGAGTCTGATTTTTAGAGTAAACTAGCTCATTATTCCCCC